ATTTATTCTAAAAATTTACCAGATTCCAAATATGGTCGAAAATTGACGGCTGATAATAATCCCAAGCAATTAATAATACAATGTTTGCCGAGACCGGCGACGAACATTTCTTTATCTAATTTGTTATACATGTCGGACCTTAGTGTCGTGTTATCTAAATGCGACTAACAACGGTATAATACCTCGTATAACCCCATGAACGGAAATGTGTGGAACTTCTTTGCACCATAATGATAATCGCAGCCAAACGTTCCTCGGCATAAACTGTTTGTCCAGCTCTTTGCCACATTCTGCCTTATATTGACTGTAAGATGTCACACGTTCCTCAAACAATCCCGCATGTTTTAGACACGCTTGGTAACTCTAGACGCGGTCCAATGAGTAGACCGCACCGGAGAAAGTGGTAATTGAGTACAAGCTTACAAAGTTAGCCAAACAATTAAGAGCCATGATTATAATGTTAAATTTTTATTATCGCGGTCGTAAATCTTCGGGAAGGTCTGTCGCGATCAACTGTCAACCCGTCAAACTTCACAGTATAATTAATGCATAACTTCGCTGAAATTCTTTGGTTCGTCCTGCACGAAATGTCTGACGCAATAGCTTTTCTTGGACCTCGAGATTATGCCAGCTGAATTGTTACTTAACAGTATTACTTGGTATCGTACCCCAAAGGACTTCAATTGACGTGAAAATTGATTAATTAAATCTGTTTAAGTGGATCAAAGGACAACTTCGAATTAATTGTTATTTAAAGATCGGAGTGAATTCAAGCGTCGAGTAAATAATTTAATGATCGAAGTAACACTTTATTATTGTTCACGGTGTTAAAACAGAAGTACATTACGTTTTTCTTGTTTGATATCCCGAATTAATTTGCGCAGCGCCCAAACCGAGCGGAAGGCGGTCCAGAAAGCCAGGAATCGATCGCAAACCCCGCCAGGCTTACAGCGCTAAACAATTGGAAAGGCTCGAGGCGGAGTTTAAGGTATGTTGAAAAATGTTGCAAAATTATTTATCGAATCAAGAGATGAATTTACAAAGATTGTTGTACAAATGAGGACGCTGATATTTGTCTACAAACAAAAACCACATAGACAAACAGGTTTTACAAAGATTGAGAATCTTAATGAGAAATTTGTTAATTGGAAATTTCAAAGGTATTCTCTTTTTCTCATAGATTAAATTTTCCTCGATAAAATTGACATGAAATTTTACATTTTAGATCGACAAGTACTTGAGCGTAAGCAAACGAATGGAGCTGTCGAAGTCTCTGAATCTGACCGAGGTGCAGATAAAAACGTGGTTCCAAAATCGTCGAACCAAGTGGAAGAAACAGCTCACATCCAGGTTGAAGATCGCCCAGAGGCAAGGACTGTTTCCACCCACGTATTTCCCGCCGACGCAATACCCTCTGCTGCCATACTACACTACACCCCTCGTGTTTGGGAATCCAGCGACAGATGACGCCAACGTAAACGCAGCGACGATACCATCGCGACCTATGGTATCATCCCCAGATACAGCCTGAACTCGAATCGATTTACACAACTTAGCCGACCGTGGGTCGAATGACGAACAAGTGCAATAAAAATCGCTGTATCAAGAAAAATGAACTCTTTGGGAAATTTTTAAATACTAAATGATTGAATAGACATTTTCTTGAATTTTTACTATGTCGAGATAATATTCCAGAGAGGATCTACAGAAATCTTCGATGTGATTGATTTCACTGTTATGATTTTTCCATAGGCCCCCTCTTTTATGATGATTAAGAAAAAACATCGAAAATCATTGTGTTAATAATAATAGTACATTCAGTCGTTTAGTTTAAAAAATTTCCCAAAAATAATGTAGCAACAAGTTGCAAAAACATGTTGCATAACAAAGTTACGAACAAATTTGTTGTATAGCATTGTTTTGTTGTATAGTGTAGACCAAGCTTCATGAAACTATGATTTTTTAACGGAGCCATAATCGTGTACGTTTACTTCAGAAATCATTCTTATTAGACGAATAATCGTGTAAACTGTGAATGTTAAGTTACCAAAAATGTACGTAAATATTGTAACGGAACGAGAGATATGTGTACATAAATTGCGACGATGACAAATACAGATTTGTGCAATGAATTTTTTGTTGCTTTGGAAAATGCGTTCTGTGCGTTGGGTGTTTGATGAGAAGAAGAAGAATATACAGTTAAAAATGCAAATCCATCCAGGTTTGTTAATATTGTATCAACTATAAAGGACACATCTGTATATTGTTTCCATAGGTTTAACATAAATCTACAAATTGTTTGTATATTTACGTGTTTCCCCTATAATACCGGAACAAAGGGGGTCAATTACTTGACAGCTGCTTCTTGAACTATCGCGGAACTTTGACCGACTGTTATAAATAATCACTTATCTCCCCTCATGCAGTGAGTCCCTCGCCCTGCTCTACATTGCGGTGTAACATTGTTGCTTCTCATTGTTTTATCGGTCCCACAAGCAACGTGCCGCACTTTCGGTTGTATGGGAACTTTCACTTTCGGAAATATATTCAGATTCTTAAGTTTCAATTTTGCTTTCGGTTTTTTGGGCTTTTTCTCTTCCGGGTAGAGCGTGCTCATGTCACGTGTCTTCACTTTGACAGACGATTGCACCGTCCTAACGCGCATCGGTAGTCCGTCGTTTTTAACAGACGTGGCTTTTTCTTCGAAGTGAATAGAAGCCTGGATGGACATGTTTAACTTGTCCACTCTGCCCGACATGGCCGCTGCAAGCGCCATAGCGTTCGTGGCACACAGATAGCAACAACTTTTCGTGAAATCGAAATCCTTTCCCAGTGCATGGCTTGCGACCAATTTTTCATCATTAATCGTGGGTGTGTCGACCACGGACGCCTCTGAAGCATGTTTTTTTCTCTTTTTCCTCGATCGTCTCGAATCGTCGAATTTGTCGGCCTTATCACTATCTCGTTTGCTTTTCTTTCCCTTAATTTCTCGGGAACCCGAATATTCGGCAGTCGAAGCACTACTCTGCTCGCTGGGAACTCCTTTTCGTCGTTTCTTACTTCTGCATTTCTCACGTTGTGCCTTTAGACTTTCCCATAATTTCGACGATACTTCTTCGACTCGTTTACGGTCCCGTTTTCTGCAACACTGCGTGCACCATCGAAAACATCTTTTCACCGCGTTGTCAGGCTTTTGCGATATCGAAGAGCTCGAAGTAGTTTGAGCGGCTGGTTTCTGCTTTCCTTGTTTTTGTTTTTTTCCAGAAGTTGACTGCGCTGTCATAAACTGCAATTAGTACTGGATTGAAATTGAAAAATTAAAATTGTCTCTGATTCGTTCACCCTAGAACGACCAAGCAGGGAATATTAACAAATTTTTATAACCGGATGTATTTGCAACCAAAATGTTCAGTCCATAGTACTACTTCTTTTTTTAACATCCACGCTACTCATGCGATATTTGTTTTGCGAAGATAATAATGACTCGTAGCGATTCGTGGTTCAGTTTTTCTAGGGTCAAAGATGAGTAAAATTCTAATCTACTAATTTAAAATTAGAATTTGAATTATATTATGAAATATCTCATAATAAACGTTATTTCGAATTTGAATAATGTTGCGCTCATTTTTGTCCATTGTTAAACTTACTTGGAGTCTGCGGAGGTGGGTCTGGATCAGTCGTCTGCGTACGTTTGAAATTAACCTTGTCTTCGTTATTTCGCAGGATATTTTTGGTATTTTGATCTACATTGTTGTATTTCCTCTCTGGCACTGTCTCTACCGAATTGTATGGCTTTTGCATTTTCACGTACTTGTGATTCCATTCGTTGACACTGGTATTATCAGTGATGGATTAAGTTACATAAATTTTAATCTGCATCTAATAATAACGAAACAAACGGTAAGTTTAGTTTTTTACAGATATCTGGATATTCCTTACTTTGTTTGGTTAACAAGAGGCTAATTTCAATGTCAATTGTAGGTTACTTTCGCCATTATCAATTTCATATTTTTGTAGATAAATCTAAGCCAAAGAATAAATCGTTTTTTATAGTTATTGGTGAATTAACTTTGTATACAACTGTAAGAGATATTTTTATCGCAATTTATTTCATAGTAAAATTAAATTGATGTCTAGGTTTTGAAACTCCCGGGTCACGCGTGTCCAAAGGGACACTCACACTGTGCAAATAGAAATTCCCTAGCAAGAACTTCCGTGTACATCTTCAAGTGATTTCTTTCAATTTAATATTTCAGCTAAGATACCAGCGTAGTACAAATTAAATAATTTGATACAAAATATACTTAAATAACAACACATTTTATCATTTATTATAACGTTACACGATATCATTACAGTCCAACCAGGATTGGCCTAGTCAGTGATGGGCAAAACCCTAGGTTTCGAATAAATCTGAAATTTGCCGATATGTTTGTCTCGCTTCCTCTTTTGAACATTTTCCAAAGAAAGAAACGAGATAAACATATCGACAAACTTCAGATTTATTCGAAGCCTAGGGTTTTGCCCATCACTAGCTCTAGTCATACGTCACATAGGCACTGTTCTAGGGTACCAAGATTTAGGTGACACCCTAAATCAGAGATGGGCAAAACCCTAGGCTTCGAATAAATCTGAAGTTTGCCGATGTGTTTGTTTCGTATCTTCCTCTGGGAAATGTTCGAAAGAGGAAAAGAGGCAAACATATCGGCAGGCTTCAGATTTATTCGAATTCTAGGGTTTTGCCCATCACTGCCCTAAACAGAATAATCAAATAAAATTGTTAATTACGAAATGCAAAACTAAACATTGCTTGCTTGTATCGAATTCGAAAGATATTATCCTTGAACTTAAAACTGCTCTGCGCTCAATTTCTCTTTAGATGGGTGTTTCAAATTGAATGTCATATTTGGCGCCTTGGAGACACGGCGCACCTTCATCGATGTTTCGATAATCGTGGGTTGACGCGTCCACGGACACGGAGCGCCGCGCATTCTCGAGTCGGCCCTGGATACAGTAATGACCAGGTAGTAATTGTCGCCATCTGGTGGCGCGGTTCTGAGCGAGAGAACAGCAAACCGTGAACATGGCAGGAAAGTCGAAGCTCCTGCGGTGGCAGAACTGCCAGTAGCGATGGTGGCGACTGGCCGAACGTTGTGTGTGTGTTTTGTTGCTGGTGCGATGCGTCTGCTAAATCTCGAGTACGTTTCGTAAAAGAGTGTGAGGAAGGAAAGCAGTCAGCTGGCACGGACGGTTGCGAGACGACCAAGAAACGAGCAACGCCGAAGCAACGAACGGGGAAAAGATCGAGAGGAGCGAGGGAGACCGTTTATATCCCGTGCGACAGAAAAAAGGTTACGAGGGGCGGATCGTCGGTGGTAAGGACCGTCCGCGTTAAAAGTGATAATACTCGTTTGGAAAAACGATGGCGTAAGTTGTCGAGGCCGTGTCGGGAGGACGTGCCGTGTACCGTGGCTGTGGATCGTTTTGTCATTTCTCATCCTCGGTTTCCGTTGCTTCTCGCATATGATTCGGCTGCTCCGAAAAGTCGCGCGCGCGAACAACGGAGCGCGTTCACAAGGTAACGCGAGTGAAATCGGAGTCGAGTGTGTGCTATGCTGTATCTAGGTGGTACGCTGGCTGAGTGGTGAAATATATTCGTAACGTCGGCCAGATATCTTCGATCACCGGTGCGTCATCGAGCCTTGCCTCATATATACGTGCCAGGCGTTATCTTTCGTCCTCGCATCGTGTTAACCCGTGTCCTGTTGCGACCGCCGGAGCGACAACCGCTCCGAAACCGCTACTTCCTCGCGTCGTCGCGTCGTTGTTTTGTTTATTGTTGTTCGCACGTACGCGCGAGGTGGTGCCAATATACCTAGCCAGCGGCTTCCAACTGTGAGAGAAGAATATGGTTACGATGATCAGTGACACGTACGGATACGTTCCCTTTCTGCTGTTGCTGTTGCTGGTACCTTACATCGAGAGCGGTAAGTACACAATTATTTCACTTTTTATCTCAGCCATCCCGAACTTTGCCAGATTCAGATTTTAATTCAGAACTAATCGGTCCTGGAAAATATTTCTTGCACTGGACATCCAGGTCATTATTATCCTTCCCCACTGGGAACGTGAATCGACGCCAAGTTTTTCAATATTTTTTTCTTATACTGAGAGTCTTGAGATGATTCAGCTGAATCCTGTTTCTGGACTCCGTTTTAGCCAATCGTACATCATTTAGCGCGTGAGTAAGCTAGCAAGTTTCGGAGCCAGTCGAAAGGTGAATATTTCTCAATTTTTCGGATTTAACTCTTTGAAGTTAGGTGGGTTAAAAACTATCCCACCTTTTGCTTAGCTTTACTATTTTATTGAAAGTTGTTTCATCAATGTGACGATATTATGAACTAACGCTGAAAGTACAATAAGTGGAATCAGAAATGTATACAAGTCAAAACCCGTTAGCAAGTTGTTGACATTGCATTTCTGTGTAGCTTGAATTTGATTTTTCTTTTATAATCGCGTGCCACAAAGAGTTAATTTCTGAAAATGTGATGTACCTATCTGGTAAGGCTGATTGTTCTCGGTAGAATCGGTTCATTGATACCTTCAGTGTTTTGCTCGAGTGTACCCTGTGTCGCTCGACATCTGGCCCGTGAAATGTACTGTTTGCTCCATGTCATATGGACGCGCGTGTATCCGTGCACGCGGCCAGCTGCGTGTACGCGTTCCTCTCTGCATCTCATGAATCGTCCTTTCACGACCAACGTGTCTCGCGCCGTTTCTCCGCGATGCTTTTGAAACGGGAGGCAAGTGCACAGCTTCCTTTCAGAAATCGTTGTTTTTCGCGTTCCTCGTTAACCCCTTGACGACAGACGGCCGACGAAAACAATCAATTGCGGCGCTCGAATTTGAGCGGCTAAACTGACGTATAGAAGTGTGTTAGTTACGTCAAATTATTTAGCGCACACGTCATCGAGAACGATGCGTGACCTGCAGGTTTTTGGAGTAGCTACTGTTGAATATTTATCATTATTTATATTTTTATTAAGCAATTAACGCACGAAACTTGTTTCTGTATTCGTTACTTGGAATTTTAATCCAGATAAGAAGTTTTTCCATCTCTGGTAAAAAAAATCAGAGCCTGCATGAGATATGGGCTTCAAACGAAATGGTTCCAGCTACGTTGCACCGTTATCTCTTATCAGAATACAGGATGTCTCGTTCGTTCTTATTGTTTTTATCGTTCGTGCAAGCAATCTAAAAATTCTTTTCTGTTTGTCCACTTGGTTTAGCAGGCCTGATAAGGATCGTATTACGTGTCTTCCGAATCGTATTTTTTCCTGGAAGTTCCCAAGGTCATTTTTTGACTTTCATGTGGGACAAGATCATTTTTCTGCCAGACTTTGATATTAAGACGTATTCAAATATTTTTTGTTCATTTAACACGAGGACACGGCGCGAAATACGTATTATTCAGGCAGAAAGTGTTTTTTGTTAAATTGTTTCCGCGTTGCTATGCAATCAGCATCAGTCAGCGACGTGCGCTGACACCCATAACTCGGCTTGAAGGTAATTTTGTTTACACTGGAATCTGTAGGTGCGTTGTTATCTAGTTGCAAGATAGTGATTATTTTCTCGTCTTCATTTGATTGCATTTAATGCCATAAGTTTTCGCGTGAAATTTTCAAGTATTTCATTTTCAAATGAAATTAGTGAATATTAAATTCCTCATTTCTGTACAAATGTGAATTTTTTACCATCTTTCAAGATACAATTTGATGAGGTATTGACTTTGTTTTGAAAATGAAACCTGCTGCACAATGGAAGCTACTCCAAATGATCATATTATGTAGCAAAATTTAATCTTTAATAAAAGTTTGCTTCGGAGCAACCATATCAATTCTCTCTTTTACAAAGTTATTTACAACATTAGTTGCTATTATTGGAGCACGATTATGGGTGACATTTTCCTTATACCGATAAAATTGAGTAAACCTATAGAGTTTTCTGTTTACCGACGTGTTTATATTTTTAAATTGATATTGGATAATAGAAACCATGCAGACGGAAAAGCCAGGTGCTAAATTAATTAACCTATCATTCGTCATTGACGGAGTTTTACGCTTTTTTTTATTACACTTCTTGCTTATTTAGTCCATTTAATAGTCGGCAGTAATTTTCTCGTTATAACGATGCAATGGCAATCACTTGGGCATACGTACATACATAAACGTAAATAAAGCACACAAGGCCAATTCGGTTGTTACTACATCAAGAGTTGATATCTGCGACTAAACTTGATATTCGACGTCATGCTCCTAGAAATGTTTATCTAGTAATGGCGACATTGAAGTGAACCTCGTTTGCGTAATTAAATGCCTCTTGAAACCAGCAACAGGAACAAATAAATACATTCCTATATCTCATAGATAAACTACGTTCGGTACACATTTTTTGGAAATTCGGTAAAAATACGTGGAAATATTATGCATCTCATTACTATTTAAAATAATTAATTTCTAAACATTGAATGTAACATTGTTTGACTCTGAGGTACAGATCAATAACATTATTTACAATTCTGTCAGATTTGAGAAAAAAAAAAAGAGTAGCGTGTATCGTAGTATGCAAATTCGATATCGTTATGGGTCAAACTCGTAAAAGTGCACTTGAAGTCGATGCAGAATGAGCTGGCCGTTCAAGGCCGTTTTCTCGGCTGCGAATTGCGTTAGGCACACTTCCGCGAGATCGGTGACCTTCAGAAGCTGATTTTCTTCCAGCTTGTAGATGGAAATAACTCTTTCACCAAACCTTCTTTCTTATTTACAAATTTACTGTATATTCAACTTCTCCTATCAGCCAAGTCGATTCTTCTGTCCTCTTTAGTATAGCGAATTCAATGTCGATATGATCCTTCGTATCAACATCCTCTTTCAAAATATGCCTTGTGTACTCCCATCTTATGGTTCATAGTAATCCCAACTAACTCTAATGGAAATATAATATACACAGTAACATTAATTCGGATGTTACATTTTTTCTGGAACTCTGTGCATTCAAAGTTGCCTACGATATCAAAGGCAATCCAATCTGTACACCCTTTTTAAATACGAAACAGCTATGCACATCGGACGGTTTTATCATTGACAACACGTGCCGCGGATTCGCATTAGGATTCGAATGGATTTCATGAGTCACGAAGCCTCGAGAAAACAGAGATAACGTTTCTAAATCTATATCACCGGTCGCTACAGCAGGGGAATTCCCTGTAATGTTATCGGGTGAATCATGTGCGAGTTTCAGAAATTTTATCGTGTCGCTGAATCGACGATTCACCGCGTGTGTTCGTTACGGTCGCTGTATCGAGCTGTGTTTGGACACAAAGATTTCTGTGTTCGATCGAGTGTAAGAGAGTTCCTCTTCCCCGGAGTGTAAATCGTAAAATTACCCTCGCCGGAAATCCCAATTACGGACCCGTGGCCGATGCATGAAGGTGATAGTCGCTCGTAAGCGCGCCACTGTCTATCTGGAACCGCCAGCGAATGATAAAAGAGAAAACGTGGAGATTATTCTTACACTTCCCGTGTTTAATGGGCAACACCACCTTTTGAACCAAAATGGTGCCTAAATTTGGGAATTTTCTCTATAATACTTTGAATAATATTTCTCACAAAGTTTACTCCAAGATTTTAGGGGAAAGAGTTAACTTGAAATATAGTTCAAGATGTGACGATACGAAATCAAATGAGAAAGGTTATTCTATTGTAAATATATTATTTTCAAGACGCATGGAGCTAAGATCTGAATAAAATGTACTACACATTTTTCGTGATCTTCCCTATAATTTATTATAGCAATAACTAACCTCCTTCTACTAAAAAAAAATCTTTGCGCCACAGAGTCTTCACTATTTGGCACTGTATGGGTTACATGACTCCTATAAATATCCGAAATAAGTTACTGCCATCGCGGAATATCGTTTTTCTAATTTTCTTCTTCAGGGAAAACGTGAACCTCGTGCATGTAAAAATTCATCGTCGATCGTGTAACGCAACCGGAATATAAAGATGTAGTTTACTCCGAGAAGTAGGTCGTTTTGTTACCTCGAAGCTATATCTCAAGGACAGAAAATCGATTTTTCTTTCACGAAGTTTTCAATACCTCGAGGAACCTCGATCGTTGCGAATGGAAGTTCGAGGAATCTTCAAGGCGCGGCACGTTGGGGCCATTTTTATATACCGCATTCGGGAAACTAAGTTCACTTCCGGTAAATTTACAATCATGAACCAAACGGTATAACGTCTTGATTTTAACGTCGCGAGCGACCTTTTCCTTAGTGCTGTTTGGTGTAGACTCTACACTGTAGAGCATACTCGAAGGATATGCTGGCGCATTTACAGAGCACATTAGAGGCAGTCGAGCAAAAAAGGTGTAAAATAGTAGATATTCGCATAAAACATGTTGGAATATGTTAAATAAATTTGATAGTAGATATTCTTAATGAATATGGCGTGATGATTTAAGATAACAACCAACCATAGTATATCTTGTTTACCGTTGCAATTACAGCAAAAACGTATATAACAAAAGTTATTGTAAATTAAATTTTCAAAATTTGTTTATTCCATTGAAAATATCGATAGGATCAAAAGTAACCGAGATATCGATACTTTTTATTCTTCATATTCTTCGAGGGAGAAAATTCCTTTTTCTGTGAACAATTAAACATGTCCACGAACTTTTTTATAATTATATGAGGAAAGTTTATGGTTCCATCGGGTCTCTAATACTGAATTCAGCTAGTCTCCTTCAGTTTCTGATTTCTAATGCAATTGACTTAATAATATACCGCGGTTATCCAACTCGTGGTGACAATTTACGACTGTTATTAGTCTAATATAGCGACGCGGTACGTTGCAACTATTACGAATTTGACATTTATAATACGTTACATTCCTGTTGCGGATAATCACGATTAATTGAGAAATTG